TGTGGCCCATTTTCTTTCTGGGGTGTCCAGGGATTGCTGTCAGGCAAGTCTTCATTGGCTGTGTGGGGCTCCAACATAAACAGTTAGCAGAGAAATGTTTGCTTGTGTATGTACACATGCTGGGGAAGGCAACCATGGGAGCATAACAATTATGAGAGGGTGCACACCTTGAAAGAAAGATCCAAGAGAAAACAAAGACAGTCCCCAAATTCTTTTATTCTGTATTACATCAATTGGCTTCTTCTTGATACAGCTGTAAAGTTTACTATGTTCCTGTTGAAATGGAGACGTGTGCCAGACACACTGTGGCCTATGGGCTGAAGATAGATGCCCCAACGTTACAGCGGAACTTTGGGTGACTGTCCAGGTAGCGAGATGTACTGTCAATTCTAGAGTTTATATAGTATCCTTCTGTTGTCTTTGATAGAGTTGAGGACAGATAGTTGTGGTTATAGTTTTCTTCAGTTATTATAAAAGATAAGTTACCGTTGTTTTTATTAAGACAGAAAAGAGGAGATGATGGGGAATGTACTGTGTATGTTTATCTTATTGATTGTTAAATAAAATACTGGTTGGCCAATGAGACAGCAAGTTAGACAGGACTAGGAGCCAAAGAGGATTCTGAGAAATGTAGTAGAGAAGTAGTAATCCAGGCAGGAAGTGACATAGCAAGGAGACTCATATTTAAAAGAAAGAGAAACAGGAAATGTCCCCCTTTTCCCCTTCCTCCTCCAGCAGCACAATGTGATCCATCGGCAAGAAGGGACACCAATAAGGCGTCTGATAAGATAAGTCTTATAAAATATATAGATTTATGATAATTAAGACTGAGCTAACAGATGAGGAATCCTAGTCATTGGCCAAGCAGCTTTGAACCTAAAACAAGTTTATGTGTTTTCATTTGGGCCTAACTCAGGCGGGCGGCTGGTGTAAAGCTCACACGTGGCGGTAGGGCTCAGGCGGCTTTTGGCAGAAAGATTTATCTTAACAATACTTCAAGTTTGACTGATATTACATTAAAGGTGTACATTGGCAAGAACAGGTATCTTTACTATTTTGAATCTTGTAGCCCACTGTTAAAGTTTGCTTTCTATTGCTGTGATAAACACCATGACCAAAAGTAAGTTAGGGTGTTCAGCTTACAGTTGTTAAATTAGTTAAACATATTTTTACTAAATAATAGAGTTTATTAATCACTCTTCCCTAATTTATAACTTATTATATAGCTGAACTATTATTACACATTCCTCACAAGTTAATGAAATAGGATAGACAGGCCAGTAGATCCACAAAAAGTTGATTTGATATAAAATACAGTCAATGGAGAAAGGGTAATTTCTTTATAAATGGTATTAGAATAACTGGATATTCATATGCAAAAATGAATCACAACTAAATCATACTCCTTATACAAACATTACAACAAAACAGATCAATGTCTTAAAATATAAAATGTAATACTTTAATTTTTTAAAGAAACTTAGCAGAAAGTCTTCATTATTGGGAAAAGAGGGTTCTAAAACTGATTCCAAAATGCCATTAAAAGTCACACCAAAAAGAAAACATGAAAGTGGGAGGGGGAATTGTTGTAAAGAAAGGTATCAGTAGCAGAGGATGACATGAGTGAGTGGTAGGTAAAATGACTACTATTCATTATATACATGTATGAAGCTGCCAACAAATTGAAAAATGTGAGTGTATAAACTGGACAGTGTCAAAATAAATAACTTTTGCTTTGTAAAATACACTGTTAGGAGAATGGGGAGGAAATCCAGACATGGCAACACATCTGTACCAACATACAAATGTACACACACACAGAGAGACATACATACACACACACCATGCAAACATATACGCACAATTAAAAAATTATATTGATAAATGTTTAAAATGTGAGTTTAGTTGTTTTTTAACCCATAATTTTTACTCCTTTGCAATTACATATGTATAAAAGTTATAAGAGCAATAGAGGATTGCTACATTAATTGCCCAAATACACATTTCATTAACAATGCTTATGGTTTTGTTATTTTCTGCTATGAAATCTATCTATCTAGCTATTGATCAATCTATTAATAAATCTGTATCCATGTATATTATTTGGGCTTGTATTTTTTGTTTTAAATTCCATTTTCTAGCAATTCAGTTTTTTTTAATTTTACAAAAGTAACGATTTAGAAGAAATTGGAAACTCACGCAAATAACTGTTAATTTTCAAACCTGGGACAAATGGCTGAGGTACCTATTTAACATATCAAGCCAGAGCTGGCCTCTAGGTTCTCCCAGGATCCCTCAGTCCCTACCTGTTACAGGGTATGGCTTACCTACTCTGACCTTTACCCTGAACTCTCTAGCCAGGGTCTGGGCTACCCTTTCCCCACAGGCTCTTCCCTATATAATCCAGACATTTTGGTTACCCTTCCATTTTGGACCTTTGGCCTCCTGGCTAGTGTACTTGGTTACCCTCTCCTCTCTTCTCCCTTCCCCTCCCCCTCTACCACATGGCTCAGCTCAGTTTGGTCACGTCCTTTCTGGACTCTCCCAGGTGTCCTTACCTCTGGCTATATTCTCCCACATAGCTATAATAAAGTTTCTCCTCCAACATATGTAGGAGCAATTTATATCCTTTCCTTTTCTTTTTTTTCATTCAATAGCCACATTTTTCATTTTAGAAACATCAATTTAAAGGACCTTACATCAAAGAACATTACAGCAAATAAACATTAGGAAAAGGACTTCATTTTTTCATTTTTTGTTTTTTGATTTCATTTTACATTCCAACCACAGTTCTCCCTCCTACCCCCCCTTGCCTCCTCCCACCCCCCTCACCTCCACTCTAGCCCACACCCAGTCCACTCCTCCTCACAGGTAAGGGCTCCCATGAGAGTCAACAAAGTCTGACACTATAGGTTGGGACAGGGTCAGGCCCCTCTCCCATACATCAAGACTGAGCATGGCATTCCGCCATAGGGAATGGCTCCAACAAGCTAGCTCATGTACCAGGTTTGTATTGTGGTCCTATTGCCAGGGGTCCCTCAGCTAGTCCAAGCTTCACAACTGCCTCCCACATATGGAAGGCCTAGATCAGTCCTATGGGCACTCCATATCTGTCCATCTAGAATTCATGAGTTTCCACGAGTTTGGTTCAGCTGTCTCAGTAGATTTCTCCATCCTGATTTTACCTCCCTTGCTCAGCTACTCTAATTTAAGCATTTGTTTTAATGCTTAAATGATTTGTGAAGAAATGGCTCCTCCTTGTGGCAATTTTGTACAATAGCATTTGAAATGGAAGATAAATGCTCTCACTTCTTTTTCAGGAAGTCTGTCCAAAGAAAGAACACAGATGCTGCATCAATTTGTACTACTTTTTGCTGTGTTCGATGAAGGTAAGTGAGATTCAAATATATAACAACTACATTTATCCCACATTGGAGAATGTGGGCTCCATATGTTCAAAAAACAGATGATGTTGATTATAGGAAGACCACAAACTGTATTACTGCTCAGGTATGAAGGAAATGGGGGATGAGAATGACTTTAAGACAAAAATGCAACCTAAGTTCCAATTGCATCTATGAAGTAAAAAGACAGAGCAACTTGGTTTTAGGTAATAAATACTTTTGCCTCTACTTCTTAAATATCTTTTAAAATCTTCTGTTCCATTTTAATCATTTATTTGAATGACTTTGGGGAGTGTCCATGCCATGGTGCTTGTGTGGAGGTCAAAGGACAACTTTCAGAAATCAGTTCTCTCCTTCACCATGTGGGTTGCAGTCAGATCACTGGGCTTGGTGGCAGGGACCTTTACCCACTGAGAATTCTTGCTAGCCCCTAAATAGCTTCTTTTTATAATTGTCTATTTCTAAGTAAACAACAATGGACAAATTACTTAACTCTCTCTCTCTGCCTTATCTTCCTCACATCTAAAATTAAAATAGTAGTATTTTTCATAGGATTGTTGTAGGGATTAATTGATTTCACTTAAGTAATTCAGAACACTGTGTGACAGAATAGGTTATATAATTCTCTCTCCCCTTTTATCCATTTGCACTATTATCTTCTTATTTGAGGCCACATCATTTTTATCCTGACAAGTCTCTTTTTGATTTTCACATTCTATTTTTTATAGCTTATTTTTTTCTTTAAGTTTCATTCTACATTCCAACCCCAGTTCTCTCTCCCATCCCTCCTCCTGCCCTTCCTCACCTCTCCCTGCAGCCCACCCCCTATCCACTCCTCCCAACAGATAAGGGCTCCCATGAAGAGTCAACAAAGTCTGGCACATAAAGGTGGGGCAGGACCAAGCCTCTCTACCATGCATTAAAGCTGAGCACGGCATCCCACCATAGGGGATGGGCTCCAACAAGCTAGCTCATGCACCAGGGACAGATCCTGTTCCTACTGCCAGGGGCCCCTCAGATAGTCCAAGCTTCACAACTGTCTCCCACATATGGAGGGCCTAGTTCAGTCCTCTGGAGTCTCATGAGCTTGGTTCAGCTGTCTCTGTAGATTTCTCCATTGTGATCTTGACCTCATTTGCTCACGTATGCTCTCCTCCCTCTCTTCTAATGGATTCCTGGAGTTTAGCCTCATGCTTGGCTGTGGATATCTGCATCTGGTTCCATTTTTTAATAAAGCAGCCCAAGTAATTTTCAGTGCTTGAGATTTTGTTAGTTTTGCAGAGGAGGTTGAGAAACCTTCAAGTTCCTGGGGTTTCCTTCCTACAAAATGGGATGAAGCAATTTATGATAGGGCAAGGACTAACAATCCTTTTAAATCTAAAATCTAACTTGAAAAATGAAATTCTTGTGGCTCAAACTAGCCAGTATTCTTCCTTCCCCTAGTATCATGTTCTATTATTCTTTCCCACTATCATTATGAACAAACATAGGGAGGGAGAACTTGTTTGAAAAAAATGTAATTTTCTTCTAAGTGACTCTGAGTTTGTGCCTACTCTGTTGACAAAAATTCAGAGTATGAATAGTCAATGTCACAAAGGAGGAAAGGGGGGAGCAAATTCATGAAACAGAGCTCAGTTGACTTACCCACCATCTCCCCCACTTCACCAGGGAAGAGCTGGCATTCAGAAACAAAGGACTCCTTCACACAGGCTATGGATTCAACATCTGCTGTAGCCTGGCCTAAAATGCACACAGTGAA